AAACAATGTTGATTGTAAAAGCTATTGTATTTATTCAAAATACAGTATAAAACATAACATTATTAAGATAAAGAAAAATAACAAGTAACAACAATAAAATTGATTCTGTGTTTTATCATATTACAATAGTTTTTGTGAAATAAAACAATAAATACTTTTGTGACTCTTAACTATTTATATTACATACATCTTTATTTTTTCTTCAATCTAATTTTCAGTTTGTGTGGTGCAATGTTTATAGCTGTATAAGTATTGCTCATCCCAGACAGCTCTTCAAAGTCTATTTGAACAATAATTAAATTATAAAGAGGAAACATGTTGATAGGATGGATTATTTTAGATACTGACTGCCTAAGATGAGTTAGACAACAGCTGGTTCTGTGGTCATTGTTGTAAAGAGAGATAGTGTTGTAGGACATCAAAAGTGTGGAACTGTTGACTCACTGGTTAAAACAAGACACATCTGTCTTTTGTGTCAACTTGTCCAGTCCCTCTCACACCTTATTGTAAAACATTGTTCTAAAAACAATCTTTTTTGTGTTTAAAGGGGATTTTCTATTTTTATTAACATCGGCAAAAAATCAGTGCTTTGGTGACAAAGTATGTAATGTAAAAGAAGTATTTTCGATTTTTATAAATGAAACCCATCCAAAAAAAAAAAAAAAAAAAAAAAAAAAAAAACACTTCTTAAGAAACGACAGTGCAATCTTGAGCCACTAGAGGACGTTGCTTCATTAAGGACACTTCCTTAGCATTGCCATTTAACAGAAAAAGTATATTTTCTATCTGAAAGTGCCTGATGTTAGTAGTTTAGCTCATTTATTGTTTTTGTATGTAGGAACAAGTGTTAAGTATTATAAAAACACTGTACACTAAAAGATTTATAGCTTTAGCTAATTTGTAATGCACTCACCTATGGACCTTTGCAACATAAAAATAAACAGTTCAAAATAAAGATTAAAAAGTATAAAACATAAAAAAGTAAGATAATAAATAAAAACATACAAGCTACAACAATAAATTCCATTCGGTGTTTTATCATGTTATAAAATATGTTCTTTATCATGATCATGACCACACGTCTTCCATTAGTGCCTATCAATAACACTAAATTTTAACAGGTTTACATTTCACATGGCTGCAGTGCCACAACATTTTAGTCAAGTCATGCTGACTGTTCTATGAATGTGACAGATAAGAAAAGATGAGTGTTCACATGAAAAGCATACTGTACCCAATCCCATCCCACCCCATACCATACCATACCATACCAT